TTCATGAGTTAAAAGTAAATTAATGATAATGGAATAGCCTGCACTAACAGTTTACGATTACCTAATCGCTTAGAGGTCAACCTGACATGGTACTCATACATTACTAGCAATTAGTTTATAGATCCACATTACTAACAATCCCCTTCCCCCCAAAATGTTATATTATCACAGTAAATATCCTTTACAATTGTAATTTTGACGTCGTGGATGGTCTAATGGTTTAGCATACCGCCTTACTTCCGGTGGTCGCGGGTTCGATTCCTCGCACGGCACATAGGTACATTTGTATTCAGGAGTATGATTGTTTGCATCGGTTTGGGTGTTTTCTATGTATAATATGTATGTATTTACGAAATAATATATATCTATATATTTGTATCAGTTGTCTGGTCTGGTCTACCCATGACACAAACTTTAGCTAGCTTAGCTTTGGTCAGACGGTGCTTGGTCTGTGAATTGTCCTGAGATTATTATTATTAATTATCCCATGGAAAATACTAAGTGTTTATAAATTTAATACTATAGTAAGACAAACTATAGGGCAACAATAGTGTAGTAAAGATAATGACGTGGCTTTGACGAACACTATTAAACGCATGTCAATGGAAAGTTTTGAGATAAGAGGCGCCAATAAATTAATTGTATTTTAATATGTAGATAAATATTACAAAATATCAGTTCATATCGTATGCCGTTCGGAAGTTACTTACCAATTATAATTGTCTATTACAATGGTATTGTTTATAGTGTTGGAATTTTCCATGACTTTTTTCTTCTTTATTTTTTTAATTCAGACTACATGACCAATATTACAAATACCTTATAAACTAACATACACATGAAATAATAATAAAATATAAATATAAGTTGTCTCCGTGGTGACGGCGCTAGCGATGGCAATTTGCCTCGATAGAGCAGGTATACCACCCCCTTCGGCCAGGTCTTCCTTATGAAGGTGGGCAGCATGCGTTATTGGGGACCCGGGCCACAAAGACCTTGAAACTCACGTTGTGAATCGATTCTAGCTATAGCCCGCAAAATTTGTATTTGTATGTATTATTTTGATGTATAAGCTATATTACTGTAAAGTTTCATCAATATTCGTTCAATAGGTTATGTGTGAAACAGTAACAAAGATCTATCCAACCATCTGTCCATCCATGTTCACAAACTTTCGAATGTATTATATTTGTAAGATTTATATTGACGTATTTAAGAGCTATATGCTATAGCTATTAAATAACGACCAGCTCCGCGGTCATGAGATATCTTTTATATATACCTACCTTAACTCAATGATTAATACGACGTTTTTCTTAAATGAGTTCCCAAGTTCGATTCTCGCCGACGGTCCAGTTTTGGCAACAAGCTCGTATGTATTAAATTATATTTTTTTTGTAGTATATTGTGCGGTTGGTTGCGGGGCTTCTCAGTTAACATTAAATAATCTGTTAAAGTTTCAAAAGCAGGTAATTCGCGTAGTGATGTGGTGTGCTGTTCAATATAATTAAACTACTTTTTTTATATTAAATTTATTTATCAATTTAGATTACAATGTGATGACTGTAGGCATAAGTGTGCCATACATAGTTGTAATTAAATTAAACAAAAGTATTATATTCTTACTAGTTAGATATTTATGTACCTACTACTGAATTGATATCATTAAATTTTCATAAAATATAAGTAATTCCATAATGTAAAATTAGTTATTGGTAAATTCACTTAATGTATCAATAAACTAAATATTATATTAATAATATCAGGATCAGAAATTGATAAATTGATTAAGATCCCTAACCAGTAACATTATAAGTATGGAAGTGATTAGTTTAATTGTTAATTATACATAACATAAAAAACTACTAATAAAAAAATGTTATTATAATGTCTGTGAATATTTGATAGGTAAGTTGTGACAAATAAAATCAGTACAATATATAACATACACATAAATCAGAAAAAATATTATTCAAAATAATTCAAGTTTTTCATCGTAACTTGCTGCGCCTCTTAAAGTCCATAGTGCTCTTATAATATTATAATCAACCCTTATTGTAACATTATGGAATGCAAATGAATGAATATTTTTATTTTTATTATAGTAAAGTAATATCTGTCCTTTTTTGTGGCGACATTCTTTTTGTCTACGTTTTATTCCTGCGTGTGTATTAATTTTTTTTAATAAATAAATATTAGTACTTAAGTGAAATGAATACAATACGTTTCACTTAATAGGGATGGAGACAGACAAACCTGTCATATCCCTATTAGGTGAAATGACATTATACGATTTTATTCCGTAGCAAATAGTCAGACTTGAATTTGTTTGATTCAGTGTAGGCAGACATTCCATGCTTTCAGAGATAATGGAAAGAAGCGATACGATGAAATCATGCTTATTCACTTACGGCGGCTAGGAATTAAGTAGGCATATGTCATAGCCAACAATTTGTCACATGACAGTATCATAGCGTTGCGTTATCTCTCGCCAGTAATATATGATGCAATAGGAAGAAACGATGAATACTCATGTTTATTGGTATATGATAACGAGCAAGAAGGCTAATTACTCCTTGAATACTTGACAACACGTTAATTTTGCATATAATTATTACAGATCGAGGGCGTCTTAGTTTAGTGGTTTACAATCGCGACTGTAGAGTCGTGAGTTCGACTCTGGAAAAAAAAGCTTTGTGTCTTTTAGATTCATATTCTTCGTTTACTCTCTCCGGTGATGCAAACTCCGATAATAAATCACAGAAATTCTGGACTTTTTGTAGTTGTCGTAGTTAATATATATACATCTAATACTTGATAGAGTTATTACGGAATTGTATTCATAATTATTCGTAGCTGAGTCTACAAACCCTGCTAACCCGTATCTAATTTTTTTCTGGTTTGCAAGCCGATTGAAATAAAAAACACAATATTTTAAGCGAAGCTTACAATAGTGTAAACTGAATTATATATAATAAACTGAAATATAATTTGAGATTAAAGCACATTTAATGTACAAATAAACATATCAGAATTCTAAGAACTACAGTTTTGAGTTTTATTGTGTCGATAACATCCCTCAAATAATAAATAGTTTTTCGCATTTGTTTCTCATGTAGGTACATCTATCGGTTATATTTTCAATGTATAACTACTTAGAAAGACTTCAACTAAGTATGTTAATACATATAGGTACATATATAATTGAGTAAGAAGAACTGAGAAACTGGAACTAAATTATTTAGCAGCATCTGACCTTTACTAAATGAAAGCAAGGGTTTACACAACATTAAATCCGTGGAAGTACTTCAGAGCGGCTGAAGTTCAACTCCTGCCAGACGGACAGGCTGATGGACGGCTCAGACTAAAGTAGTAGCTTTAGTATGAGCCCTAAAATTCACCCAATGGTGAGAAAACCTTCAGTTTTGCCACAGTGAGCTCAATCTATTCTAAAATTAAAGCAAGTAAACATAACACGTAAAGCTGCATAAAGCACAGCAGCAGCAAAATTTTCAAATAACGTTTTCTCCAGAGCTTTTCGCTAGATGGCGCTTCGTTTCTGTTTTATAGTAATTTAAGTTGTGGTAGATGGCGGTAGTAGTATCGATTTTGTATTATGAAGCAAAATATTCAATGTTTATATGGTACATGTGCTACACTCAATACCGTGTAGTAGCTACTGTTTTGCTAGCTCTATATAATACATAAAATTCTCGTATCATAGGTTTCGTGTTTATACTCCCCCGAAGCGGATTGACCGATTATGATGAAATTTTATATGTATATTCAGTAGATCTGAGAATAGGTTTATAACAAATTTTTATATCCCTAAGGATGACTCACCCCATACTTTTTTTTTACATTTTTTCGAATATTTATATGGCATTTATATATTTTATGTGGCATTAAAAAATACATATAACCCTTAATTTTCATCTTTCTATCACCAACCCCTATTTTTTAAGAGCAATATTAATTTATATGGCAAAACAACGTTTGCCGGGTCAGCTAGTAGGTAGTAATTGTATAAAACAATGTTTTATAATTAGTCTGAAGAAAGCTTAATCAATGTTTAAATCATCAAATTAAATACATATCAACATTAGGCGGTAACTATACGTGCAATATTTATCTACATATACCTAGTTGTGTCTGATACGAGAACATTTAAATCTGTATTTATACATATATGGTTAAACAAAATCCTCCGACGCCTCCATGAACAAAACAGACAGGGCAAACAATTCTTTTTTTTATTAATTCTTCGATGTAAAAACTTTCATATTGTGTTGAGCTAATTTGAAATTACAAACAGACATTTCAATTTCATTTATTTGTACAGATTATCTTGTAATATTTACGAGAATGGAGAGAGATTGATTGAAACATAAAATTTACCTCATGTAAAAAACAAACTCACCTCAACGAAGATTATACAGGAGCTAATAAATTGAATTACCAAATATATTTATTTTGGGGCCACAGTAATTAGTAGTCTTTTGAACTATAAGGAGCTTATATACAGTAATTAATATAGCATTGTATAATGTAATTTATATATATACGGGCTCGTAATGACAGTAAGTATGCAGCATTCCATAGACAGGAAAGTTACCCAGTTAGCAGACCCAGTGTCAAAGGGCTCGCCCATAACCTCTTTCAATGTCTATCTACATATACTCCGTGTGATATTTACTTATCTTGTTTTTATTATTCATTCAAATTTTAATTGATTGTAGTATTATTTCAGTTACATTAATCAAGGGTTATTTTTAGATTCAGCTTATCTTACTTACACTTATTGTTATCAACTATAACTTCGTCACAAAGTATAAATACATATTGTAGTATTCAATGTTTTTTATGCTATGAATGGCACTTTATAATAAGAGAGAAATATATATTTATGCATATATTTCATTGCGTGTGCTATTTTGTATTATGTTGATAAGGGTGCATTATATTATATTTATAACGAATATTATAATGAAATACAGAAATATTAGAAATATGTTTTTTATTAACTTACTCTTTTGTTCACGAATTTGTGAAATCTTTTCAACGATAAAAATATAACAATACGACCTGAGTTAGGCTCGATACAACATCTCTTATACAATAATATTTACTCTTTAATATCACAATAGACTTATAGGCTACTTTCATTAAAGCTTTCAAGTTGAACTTACGAACTACATTTAAAATCCCTACACTAATTAAATGTTGAGATCTAGACTTGTCTGCAACTTGTCACAACACTAAACTTAGGATCATCACGGACTCAATGAAGTGTGGCGGCTCCGAGCGGTGCTGGAACAGATGTGACCGCGGAGCCGGGTCCGCCAGGTCCTCGCATCGCTGTTTACCACGGTCGCCACACTGATGTCTTGGTGAAGGCACTGCTGGTGGTGCAATCCAAAGGTGTGCTGTGGATTGGCATGGGTGATGCCGGTGGCGAGGGTGACACGTAGCCTGATGAAGATGAGGTGGTGGAGAGTGCAGGGCTGGGTGGGCTCGCTGGAGGTGTGTCGGTACCGGCAGCGGCTCTCTGCATATCATTCAGTCTGTGTCCGAGGTGGGTCATCAGCTGTGTGCCCAACCTCACATCCACACCGGGGATGGAAGCTAAACAGCGGGACACTTCGTTGGCAGCATGCGTGAATCCATCTCTGAAGCGATCTGCGTCTGCTGAAGGGCTGAGAGACAAACGGCGTTGACGGCGCAGTTTGTGCAAATGACGAACTGTCAGTTCCAAAATATCGGCCTTCTCCAGTTTGGCAACGTTCTCTCCTTCCGATTGCAATGCGCTGACCATCAGATCCTTGAGCTCGTCCAGGCAGCGGTTGATGCGAGCGCGCCTCTTGCGCTCAAGCATCGGTTTCATCACTTTGCGATATTGATAAGTACGCGAGACGGGCTGAGGGCCGTCGTCTGCGAGTGAATACGCGATCTCGTAAGACATGTTAGACATTTTGTTTACTGTGAATAAGTGTATGTGAGCGTTGAGCGTTGAACGCGGAATGCGGTGAAGCGACTTGGGCGGGGGTTTATATAGGGAGCGGAGCGCGCGCTATCGTGGGAACGCAGAGACGTCGAGTTCCCACACGCGCCACCTGTGCGGAGCAGCTGCCGGCGCGCGGGGCGCGGGGGGACACGCGCCGCCGCCGCGCGTGCGCGCCGTAAACAATCGCCGGCGCAAGCGCACGCCGCGACGCCTCGCGCACTCCTCACCACGTCAATTGTCACCGATTCTATTCTATTCTACTACTGCTGTATAACCGGACACCTAAGTTCATGGGCATATTAATCCTTGCGTTCGAAGATCCATTATGACAACCTTTAGATGTAACGACATATTTGATAATATATTCATTAATACTTAACCAACACTAATTGCTAATTATATCAAATCGGACCTTCACTCTACGTAATCAATAGTGAAATAAAATAATAATGATATACTACTACAATAACAACAAAAAATATATATATATTCTTTTATATTTTAAGTCTATAAAAGACATGGAATAGGTCTTTCATTCATCACACACAATATATCTTAATAAGACTAATTAAGAGTGCGGATTTGGGTTCGTTGACGCAATATAAAGTGCAAAGAATGGGTGCCGAGTTACGCGATTGCCGATAAATCAAGGCACTGCCACAATAGGTTGTTTCAATTATATTTCGATCGCCTGGCTACTGTTGGCATTCATCAATCACGGATTATGTGGAGTAATAATTATTGACAGTTGAAATTATGGCGATATTACGCCCCAAATAAGAATCGGGTAATGAGGCGACGATGGCTGGAGTGAATGCAATCTAATATTTTGCGGCAGGTCTTGAGAGTGTGTTATGTGATGTGATAATTAAGTCTAGACTAGACTTCGTGTTTATATGCGGTATTTGTATGAAAGAGTATTCTCTAGTGACACTATACTTGACGTGTAGATATTTTTATGACGTTAAGTCTAAGCGATTTTCCATTAAGTACTTAATGGACTTTAAGTTAAATAACACGTTTGTGTATTCTAAGACATGGCCTAAGACATATTAATCTAAACAGTTATATCTGCTTATGTTGTTAAGCTGATTCTTGAAAATGATGTATTTAACTAAACTTGACTTAGACAATTGATTTTAATTTTGTAGTCATATTTACATGCCGATACACCAAGAGATTTTTTCAAATGGGACGGTAATTTTCAAATGTAATTTTTTTTAATCTTTGGTATTTTAGTATTTACTCATTAGCATGAATTAGGTATTTATTTATGTTTGTACAGGACGAAGGACTATTATCGAATTAAGACGACCTGTGCGATTCGTCACTAAGGGCTAACTGCCCTGACTTCAAGCTCATCCTAAAGTCCTCCTCTAGTGCCAGCGTATACTGTGCCGAAAAGACCATTACATTGTCATCAATAATAATAATAAAAAATACTTTACAGCTTTACTTTACTGGTAAAACAAATGTATTATTTTCGTTACAATTACACAATATATTATTTTTCTGTCACAAACACGCAATATCAAAACAAGTCATTTCCGGTAATGTAAATAATAAGTTAGTCACACTGCCTGCGTTTTTTTTATCTCCATTAAGGCATGTTATCATGTGGTTGGAAGTAGGTGGTCGCCTACACGATGTTTCACTATGCGACTGTCCACCGCGGCATCGAATCCACGCCCGTTTATTGCAATACTTGCTGTCTCCCACACCCACTTAACACTTCAAATAATCAATTTATTGTTATATTCTGTCGTTGTACCAAAATATCAAGATAAAAAAGCTCTTTTTTTTGTTAAACGATTCTAGTAATAAGGGATTAAAGTAGTAATTGACATTAAAATGTAGAGGTATATCTACCAGACAAATAAGTTTATCTATTTCTGTTGTAAATATAACAAGAAACAATTTTTTAAAATTATTATTATCTACTTATGACAACATGAGTAATCAAACGTCGTATTAGATGGAATGATATTGCAAAATAATGGATACAGAAACATTCAACTTAATCTAAATCATATAAATAATACACTTAGAGGAAGTACCTATATACGTGCTATTTTTATTCTCACTTTGAAATATTGTGGCAAAGGCTATGGTGGTCTTTTGCAAAAGTATTATATGTATATAGTCGTGACTATAATTTCTTCCGACATGCTAACAGTGGAGTTACAGGATAAGAAGCACGGCATCTAACTGCTCCGGAATGACAATGAATGAGAGGTATTACGTGTGTCACTTAATAACGCGTAAGTGTACTGTTAAAAATTTACGTCAATTATTACTTTCTAATACAATTTTTTTTTACCATTTTTCTTATTTTATTGTGCGTAGTTTTCGTGGTGTCAGTGGCGATTAATTTAGTGGTTTGTAATGAGATTATAAAAATTCCACTGTCCTAATATTTGGCGGAACGGAAAAATGACAATTAGTGGACATAATCACCGCATTAAGCAAGTCTGTCATTTAGGGCATAGGTACACGCACGTGGAGTAATTGGCCATCAATATTTGCTTATAACTATAATTTTATAAACGTTTGCACAACGGTAATATTTGAGTTTTATGTTACACATTAATGTGCACAGGTTACCACCTCTTGATTAGATTTCCGAACATGATATAGAGATCAGAAAAGAGCACAGCTAGTAAATTTATAAATTCTAGATATCTACCTCTCACGCAGAGAACTTTATTTATCTCCCCTAATTAAACAAAAACATAAAATTAGACTAACTATAGATTTTTCTTAAATAGAATAATATTTGTGTAAAACCATAACACGAGGTTGGAAATGTGAAGCAATCACATCTAATGTGTTTAATTACTAATGTACTTCGGAAAGTTTTGCCGATTGTGTTTATGGGATGTCATTACCATAATTTACATTGGAAAAATTGTGGTGTCCGTCATTCATAATGACTTTTGAAATCAACACTGAAGATTTGTTAATCATTGGAAAAAAAGGAAGCCAATGAATATTAGCTTTTCTTTGTCTTTTCATAAACTGTTTATAAAGAGAGGAAAAAAATGTTTTTTATAGATAAATTAAAAAAATACTCTATTTTTTTAATTTTTTGGCCAATGAATTCTGTATTGGACTCTGTTAAACAAGAGAAACAGTGTGCAAACAGGGTTTACATGGAACGGCAAACTGTTAGCTAACGGCTCGCCTTATAGCCAATGAAGAGAGATAAAGTGACCCCCACGCTAAGATGTGGGACGAGCTGTCATGATTATGACTAAATCACGTGTAAATAAAGTATTCATTTTGACTGTAGAATAGGCAGACGATTTTATTTCTATTTTCAAGAATATAATTTTGATATTGTCTAATAGAACCGGTTCTCATTTAACTGTAATAAACTATTAAGGTAGTTTATAAATGAACTTGTAATCAATCAGTATTCATAAGGCCATTTAATCCTCCTCACTATTCTCAACATAAAGGCTGTATGCCTAGTTTACAACTATAGTACCTTTGCCTGTCTAAATTGCACATAAAAAATAAACAATAACATCAAGTCGTGTATCTCAATATTTTGAATCAATGTTGCGTTAAATAGTAATATAATGTTGCTAACTTGTCAGTGGCATGTTGGAGATTGTAATGACATTTTAGCAGGGATGTAACAATCTATATAAAATAGATTATTTTTGTTTAATATTTTTTTAAATAAAGTGTTTGTTCTTTTACTCGATGCTAAAGAGCATATATCTAATGTGGTCGCTCTTTTTGTTAACATAATTACAATTAATCTAATTAAATTAAATTAAAATATTTTTTATTCAATAGTAATATTTTTTTCTAAAATCGAATATTTTATTTACACTTGGTGTATGTACTTATATTTTTTTTATTTAATAATATTTAATGGTTTTTTTGTATATATTAAAATAGAATTGTAACATCGACTATTTCGTTGAATAATAATAGATGTTTTCTATAATCATATTTCCACATCCCTAGGTGCTAGTTCAACGTGCTTTGCGAAATCGGAACAGCTGGTTTGTCACTTGTTTGCAATAAAATATTTGTTTGGCGTTATCAGGGATAATTGTGCTTATGTCACATGGTTCATCTACCTCATATTAGGTTTCGGGTCTGATTACTTTTATCATAATTAATCGTTCCAGTAGTTTATCAGTGAATCTAATATGTAGTATAAACTAAAGGATGAAAGTGTTACAATTTATGTAATCGACAAATACTGTAACATGTTTATTGTTTAACAATTAAATTTTATACATATTATTGTATTGTACTCCAAAGTAATACTATTTCTATAATACAATACTAGACTTAGAGCGTTCAACACGGAATAGAAGGAAGTGTTACAATTTATGTAATCTGATTGATTACTGTTAAATGAATGCAGTAAAATATCTTTATTCTGATCGATTACAAACCCTTAGCTCTGATGATATGTTAAATCTACCACTAGTTACAAATAACTTCCTATAACTATCAGTTACCCAAAATGGATAATAACTGGATGGATTTACAGTTTACACTTACATGTTTCACCTTCCTTTGTCATACAAAAATTATTAAAAAATAACACTTGATGTATTGCCTACACAAGTCATCTAGACTTCATAACATTATCTACATCTAAACCTTACAAACATAGAAACAGTTCTACATATTTATACACTTTTTATGAAGGTAATTTGAATTGCAAACAGGCTGACGGAGTACCTGATGTAAGTGGCAACAATTTGCTAATACACGAATAGCATCACGGATATCACGTCATCATGTGATGCACATTTTTCTACTAGTATGTCTCCAGCTTCCTGTAACCTGTAATTTTATTGACTTATCTCAACCTACAATCGAAATACAGCTTAGAAAAACTATAATAACAACACTACTAGCCACCAAGGCTGAAGTAGATGAGACAGAGGTAACTACGCAGACTACTTTATACCAAGACTACTTTGCAAAAATATGTAACAAATATTTGTATTGTGCAACAATCGAATCTATAATCACTGAAAAGTGTTAAATCACTATA